TATACAGATGTTCTAACCTTTCTAGGTTCTTTGCTCTTGGTGGTCACATATTCTTTTTTTGTGTGGCTTTTCATTTGCATACGTGTTAGAACATCTGTATAGTTGTAGTCACTTAATAAAAATCATACGTGTTAACACATTAGTATACTTTTAGTCACTTAATAACAATCATACCTGTTAGAACATCTGTATAGTAGTAGTCACTTAATAACAATCATACGTGTGCATGGATAAGATAAGTAATAATACCCAGGGCCAAAACCTCAGGGTCCACTTAGTATGATTGCAAAATTTCAGGTTTCTTGGTTGTTTCTTCTTGGAGCTGTTGCAGTCATGCATGCACATACAGATAGAAACGTGTGCATGCGCGTTTCTGTCTGTCTATATGTAATATAAGGAACCACTTCTTGTCTATGTAGTTTTGCAGCTTGCATACCTAAAAAAAAAGTGCACATGCGCACGTGATTAAGTAATAATACGTACGTGCACACCATCAGGGTCCACTGAGTATGTGTGCAAATTTTCAGGTGTGTTTTTTTTTGGCTGGCTTGCCCCATTAAAAAGATGCACATCAGGTATTCAATCTCAGGGTCACTTATTATTTTGTAAAGTAAGAAACCACTTATTTTCTATGTAGCCAGCATTATACATAAGGTTGAAAACCAGCAAGAAACAAGCTCTAGACAAAATTTTGTTAAAACTTCTGCAGAAAGGTAAGGATATAATTTTCTACAGTTCAATATGATTACTTACATAGATCTTTTATAACTAAACTTTAATGAAGCAAATTGACTTATAAAGATAAACATGAATATTAAGTAATTGTGCATTACTTAGGGAATTAAGTAGGCATCCTTTGTTTAGGGCGAATAAGTGCTATAAAATATATTAATTACTAGCAAAAGTACCCAGCTTCGCTCAGGTTATTAGGTTGATATAGTTCTCTATTACTATGTCAGTGTGGGTATTCTGAACCTGTTTTAAAATAGAAGAACAGTCAAAATATTTTAAACATTTTTATTTCCTAGAAACATAAAACATTTATTTTTTATGTGGTTTTCCGCTAGCTTATCTCATTAAAAAGATGCACCCATGGTTTAGGATAACATAAGTAATATAATACTTTACGATGGAAATTAGTATTAATCTATTCCCTGATCTATAAATGAAGTTTTCTATAAATGATTAGCCATAAATCTGAACTGTTTCTCAGATGACAATACCCTATATAATATTGAAATTTTGTGAATAAGTGAGACAATAGTCTTATTTAAAGTCTATGATTTTACTTACATACATTGCTGATAGCATGTCTGTATGAATAATTGTATTTTTAGAAATTAGAAACTTTTTTTATCAGTAGTGGTAATATATGTAATTATTGCTTTCTCTTTACTGAGGTGTGGTGGTCTTGAAAACTATCTTTAAATTTTAATTGTAAATCTCTTTATATTAATGTCCCTCATATTCTCCATCGTATGGACAGATTATTATTTGAGAAACATGAAACCTACAGCCCAATATAATAATAATAAATATCACATAACCAAGTGTTTAAGCATGGAAGACGCAAATGTTAAAACTACCATAAAATCACCAAACAAAGCATAAGGGATATTCCATAAAGTGATTCAACTTAATGTGACTATAGAATGTTTCTTCATTTGAGAAAACCATAAAAAACATATTATGCACTTGAAATTCATAATTCATACAGTTATATTTATCGTGCTAGAATTTTGGACAAAAGACCTGTTGACCCTTTCTCTACTAGTCTGCCTCTACATCATATTATTAGGGAGAAGTTTCGACTTTGGCAAATTCTGAGGAACACATATATTTTGCAAATATCGAATACTGGTGAATAATTCTTCAAATTCGATTTATCATGTAGGATTTCAGATTGTGGACTCAGAAAACTCGTTTATCGACCATTTTCTTTTTCAAAATGGATATTTTCCTCACCTAGATATTGATATTTTGAAACAAAATTACTGTGATGTATTAGTTTCACCTATTATTTATATGAAGATCATCAAATACATTATCCATCTTTGTCAGTTAGAAATAAGTGTTTTGTATTGTTAGATATCAGATGAAATAAATAGTTTTTGTTTTCATTCATTACACAGCACAAAGATAGAGCTTATACATGAATCATAATCCATCTTACAACACTTCTACAGTTCTACTTTATATCTGTATTACTATTTGTTCAGTTCAGTTCAGTTTGTAAAACTTCTAATATAAATGAAAACTCAAAAGTTAATGTAAAATTATTTTATCTTGCTAAGTTTGTCATACTTTAGAACAAAAACGTATTATGCTTACTACTCAGTAAGACTAAAATGTGCCCAAAATACAGCAAACAGTCAAACATTCAGACAGAATGAGTTTACAAATATTTGTAAAATACAGCTTATGCCAATCTTGGGTTCATAACTCACTAACAAAGTGTAATTTATTCTAATTTCTCTAGACTAAAGATCAAATGTCAGATATTCATGCTTCTAACATAGTCTTTTTATGATACATTAGTTTCCAACCATTATGTTTGAGCATCTAATACAAGTTTTCATTAAATATGACTACTGGCTAATTACATTGTAAATACATAAAGCTGCTCATATTTAATTCCAGAAATAAAACTAGAGGATAAAAGTGTTTGAAATTTGACAAGAACTATCTTAAAAATATGCATTTTCAGAAAAATAAAATAATTGATTTTGAATTTTTTACCATTTTTACTAATAATTAATTATTTAATGTAGTTCCCCCTGCAAGATGATTTCATATGAATTATAAAATGCTATTGTTACGTCTCCGTTCGCTAGTTAATTTTCCGTAAATTCGTTCCGACGAAACTTTAGCAACATAATTTTTTTCTTAAATAAAACTGGTTTATTCTTTCCGAATACAACTTTACGATACACTTAATTTCAACAGTCGATCTATAACAAACACTATAATTCAAGTCTCACGTGGCCAACAATATTTTGTCCGCATACATTCAATTACTCATTCACTGAGTGCAGTTCAATTACTCACTGTCTCTCTTCCGTCACGTTGTGAGCGTCTTATATATACCAGACTACCCCAATCTAGTAGTCTCCCGATAATTCA